TTTTTTTTTTTAATTTTTTTTTTTTTTTTAATGGAATGACTTCAATAAAGTATCCAGCAGTGGAAATTTCTTCTTGAAGTTCAGCTAGGGTCAGACTAAGTGAGCAGCGAGGATCCCAGTTCCTCAGGGACTTGGAGATGTCTCAGATTTAAACAGAATTAATGATGTATAACATCAGCGTTTCCAGTAACTGCAGCCACTGTTGCTTTAGAGTCAGGTAAGTGGGTATGCCTTGTAAAATGGAACTACAATTTCTAAGAAAAAAAGTAGTAGGTATGTCCCATGAATCCAGTCGAATCATTTTTAGGGATACCCAAGGCTAAATTGGTCTCATAGGAAAGCTGTTCTTCCTTTTTGGCTATACGTAGTTCAATGCTGCCCGTCAGAGTCAGGAACATGTTATGCCTCAGGCTGCACAACTGCTGATACACATGAGACCCGGAGGAAATGTGAGGTAACCCATCCAAAACCACCTCAGGCTTGAGTGAAAACACTTGCCATACAGAGCAGCCTTTAGGATTGGGGAAAAAAAAAAAAAAAAAAAGAGGAACAACAAAAAAAAGCCTTGGTAACTGCAACTACTATACCCAAAAAACAGATGAAGCCAGCAAAGAAAGTGTAACCTAGCTGCATATCCTTATTTCTTCTACCCTTCTTGCTCTAATCAGTCTTTCAGGGAGCATATGAGAACATGGTCTGGGATTAGACAGTAAAGCAGGAATGTGGACACAGTGTCACCTAGTGGCATCAAGAAATTACTGTTCTTGTCAGCGGGTTTGAGTGAAAACTTGTATCCCACCTTTTTCTCAAGGTCTTTTTAAAATGCTGTTTATGAAATGAGTATGAACCAGTCTTCAGATTCAAAACAATGTAAATGACAGAATTTTATTGAAGATTTCATACTTAGCAGGATTGTTAAGAAAGCAGAATATTTTACACCTCAAATATAGTTAGAGCTAATTCTCATAAGAATACAGTACAAATAAGAGCTAGTATAAAAGTACATCCTCCTTGCACTGTTCATATTCCATTGTTCAAAAAATAAATGTAGTACAAGTCAAATGTACTAAGCTCCCATACTAGGGATCGGAGTTTCACTTTTCATATGGTTTTATCCCAAATATTTTGCTATTTCACAGCCACAAGGAAAAAATTTCTGGCAGCTTGGTGCAAATAGGATTTCATAATCGTCAAAAGGCCTTAAAAATTATCTGCAGTTTTAAATGAATCAAGGATGAAATCTACTAAAAAAAGAAAGAAAAAACACTTAAATGCATATGAAATTCAGAAATAATGCCCTGCAGGCTCCTCCAAAAGTACTGATTTGTCTTCAGAGAGTCCTGTCAGCACAGCTCCTGGGCAAGCACTAAAATACATATATTCCAGCAATGGGCATACCATTCCAGTTGTACGGAGAAGAGTAGGAAGTCTTCCACTGATCATAGGCAGTTTTGAGATTAAAAAGAAGATACATTGTGCTCAGTTTAAGATGCTTTAGTTGTTGGATTCTAAGCACAAACGTAAGTAKGGTTTTCATTATGAAAAATAACCCAGCTGTGCCCTTTGCATGTATTAAAGTGCATTCAGTTACCATTTTTTTAAGCAGGCCAGAAAGTCCCTTTGAGATTGGTCCCTAAGCACTGCAGTAGCATTGTAGTGGTAAAAGTTGCRTATTACAGAGAGCCTGTTTCATACCACCTTTATGAGCACAGTAAAATTCTGTCARTTGTTAGTGGAATAAGTACTAAGCTCAAAAGGGATAAGACAATTCTGTTCTCATGCTGTACATAGAGAATACCCGTTGAATATAGCAACARGCCCTTATTTCCATGCACCTTGATATGCTCTTCACAGGCTTCCACAGTATTTTTGTGTTCAAGGTAATGTGCACATATGAATGATTCCCTTACACACTGATGTGCAGTACAGCATCACTTTCACAGAGGACAGCTGCTTATTAAAGCTAAAAATACCRATTTAAAAGGCCCAGCACCGTGCAGCAAGTCTTCTAGTAAAAGGCCAATTCATTCTTCATCATCTTCCTCATAGTAACGATTCCTTTTGATCTGTTCTTCCACAGAGAGATCTTCCATATCTTCACCCTCCCAGAAACCAACATCTTGTGACTTACGATTCTGGTCAGGAGAAGATTCATCAGCAATCTTAAGGTTGGCTAAGCTGGAATGTTTAGGAGAATTTGGCTCAAGAAATTCTTCACTTAGTGTTTGCTGCTCTTCCACAGCATGTTCTTCATGTTCTTCCTCATCTGTTTCTACACTCACCTGGCCATTTTCTACTGGGTTATGCTCTACTGCTTTGCTATCCAACAATTCCTGCTCTTCCTCTATGTTTTTCTTTTCAGCATTCTGCATGTTCCTATTCTCAACCTTCTTTTCTTTCTGCTTTTTGCCTGTCGTGACCTCTCTCTCCATTTCCTCGCCTCTTCTCAAGCTGTCTCTCTCTGACTTAGGAGGAGGAGATAAATTCTCTGTTTTATGGCCTTTAACAGACATTGTTCTAAATGAGGCCGCTACTGTGAAGGGCCGACTTCTCTCCTTCAGTGAGGAAGATCTTCGTAACTTTTTGAGATCCAGGTCCACATCATCCTGCACATCTGGCTTAGAAACCTCTTCTTCTGGGGGCCATTTGGGCTTTAAAACTTTGATGCCTTCATCTAAGGCACTTCCTTGAATACTTTGRTCAGAAGGAGGCGGCCAGGCAATCCTGAGCTTCTTCGTTTCTGCYGGTCTCTCTTCTCTCTCAGGCAAAGCCGAAGCTTTGGCTTCCATGCTTGCTGCCAGAACTCCCACTTTTGCAATTGGGGCATCCTCTACCCCAGGACTTGGAGGACTTTCTGCTGCATTTCCAGCATTGGCAGTTTTCTCCAAGGATTCTTCACCTTCAGTTTTGCTTCCCCACAATTCCTTATGCTGTTTGTGCCCAAAGCCTTCGTCATAGTTACCTTTAGCTTTGAAGAGCTGGTTGAAGTGAGGCTTGCAGTAAATGTTGCCACGCAGAGACGCATATGTCCCAAGACTGGTCAGAAAGATATTAAATCAAGCGTTAATACTGCTATCTCAGCCAGCAAGCAGGGTGCACATTCACATTTAAAAAAAGACAAACTTGACAGTGTCCCCAGCTTCCATGACCAGTTATGGTTGTCTTTTCAAATTTCAGGAGTTATCTACAATTATATTCCCCGCCGACACACACACACACCAAATGCCATTAAGATTTTAAAATAAACTGCACCAGCTGCAAAGGCTAGTGGCAGAACYAGGACTCTAAAACCATTCCTTTGCCCCTGTTCACTCTGCAGGATTAATGTTGCCTTTGCCAAGCCTGAATAGCATCTTATTCAACTTCTGGGAAAAGGATAGCCAAACTTGCCAAGAGGCCGCCAAATGCAGCACTGTGTTTACCTGAGTTTACTGTTGCAATAGGAACAGCGGAAGCAGCTGATGTGGAACACCTGCTGGTTGGCAAACAGCCTCTCCATTGGGTACACAGTCTTCTGGCACCCGACACAGATTTCCTTCGCTGGCAACTGAAACTTCTAAGGGAAGAGAAAGCTGGTTGACTGGAAAATGAATCAACTCTTATGAGATTTCACTTGGGTTCAAACTGAGCTTCTTGCGTGCTCAGAAAATTTGCGACATTTCACTTTAAACTGCTAGTTATGGCATAGAGAGTGCTGGGAGGCAACGAGCAAAGAAAAGACTATAGCACGCTCACAGCATTGTCTTGGGAAGAATAGGAGGGGAACAGGCTGCTCGAAAGTTTGAAACAAACCAGTTTTGCTGAATGCTCCCCTAAAGAGGAGGAAATCACCTCAGCACAGATGGAGGCAGCAGGAAACATTTGTGACTTCATTTGTAAGCAATTCCAATAGCAAAGAAACTATAGTCAGGTTTTAGGACAAATTTACTCCAGACTTAATGTTAGCAAGGTTTTGACATTAAGCAGCTAGAGTTGTTTATATACCCATGAAGACAATTTCCTGAGAGTTTAGTGTAAGGGTAAACTTAAATGCTAAGGAGTCAAGTGTCGCTTGTGGGCTGCATGGGAATAGTTTCAGGTTTTGTTTTCAGACAGCAACAAGGAAGCAAGTACTCTGTCCATTAAAAAAGGTCACTTGATGCTGCTCACTTCTTGGAAACTATTAAGGTTGGCCAGAAGGAAAGGCACTTTTATATAAGAATAAAACTAAATAACAGGAAGGTGAAAATTGATGATTTTGGACTGCACACCGATTGCAATCACTGTAGCAGTGGGTTAAGAGTGCCAGGCTCCATATCCATGGATGTGCAGCGACACACTGATATTGTAGCTAGACACATTGATATTGCAACTTGCTTATTTATTTCTGAACAAAGAATTACCTGCTACAAGCCTACTAAAAAGCTTTAAGGAAAAATATGATGGTTAAAGAAAAAACAGGAAGGTCACAGGAAGACAAATAACTACAACAATTTATTTATAACAAACACTAGAAACAATGGCCAGGCAATGAAAGTTACAGTATGTGAGGGACTGATTGCTGAAGACTGAGCCAGCTGAAGTCAGTTTGTCACAACCATGAAGTTTGCTGCAAATTTAATTCCAGTTTAACAGGTTTCTATATCTTTTAATTTAAGGCTTTGTTTGAAGTTATAATAAAGTTCAAGTGATAATGACAGCTTGACCAACAAAAGCTTGCCATCTCAGCGTTCAGAGGTCCTTTTGGAAAGCAAACTAATAAAATAAACGCCCTCTGGGTGTTACCAGAGCTGAATACAAATTCTCAATGCCAAGTTGCTATATGCAATCTCAAACACTTCACTGATTCACTTCAATCACAAACAATTCACTGATACAAACAAAAACCTAAGCATCCACACTTGCCACAGAGAGCAAGGGGGTAGCAATTTGCTCAGAAACATGACTTTTTGTGGGAGCTGAGTTTTGCAAGAATACATTATTGTGCTGGCGTGTGCTTCAACAATGCATGTCCCTATCTGAGAGGAGGAACTTACTTGTATAACAATGAGCCCTGTGTCTGATGGAGAGGTGTTTTGGGGTGTGAAGAGAAAGAAATTCCTTTCCAGCCTACTACAAATAGGAGCTACAGGAGGAAGGTGAGGCCCAGTTAATACAGACAACTTGAGAGAAAGCTGGGAGTTGAGCTTGCATTAGGAGGGAAGTAGAAGGCAGGAGTAGAGAGTAGGAACCAAGAACAGGAAACAGAAGCTGGAAGAGACAAATAGGAATCTTGCGTGAATAAAACAGCATCTAGGTTTCTATCTGTGCAGTGCAGCATCAAAAGCAGTAACAAGGCAGAGCACTAAAGCAGTTCTAATACTATAATCAGATCTTACAAGGGACTAAACCACATAGCTTGCGTACCTTGTATGCTTTAAAAGACTGAAATAATAGAAAAGCTACAGGTAGCTCTAATTTCACATAGTGGCATTTACACTCCAGAACACTAGGAAGCCACAACTCGCTCGTCTTGGCGAGGGCAGCACGGTTCCTTTCAAAGATGGGGAAACAACAAAAGCACAGTTGTTTCCTCAAGAGYGAGCCAGGAAGTCTGTGGCAGCACACGGAACAGGCATCCTAACTCCAGACGGCACACGTGACGAGCAAGTACAGCACGATCAAAATACTCAGCGCTGCAGTGTGTGTGCGCTTAAKAAGATTAGCAATACATTCCTATCCTAGACATTCTCTACCTGCTTTATGCTTTAGAGCTCCTGGTAAAGAAAAAAGACTTGCTATTCAAAATGCTAAACTCAAATTTTGAGGAGTCCCCCGCTAAATTRCCCTCACTGTAAAGTTCCTACCAATTGCAGTTGTTTGGGGAAGAGGAGGGGTGGAGAGCCAGGTCCTGGCTGCTGAGAGTGCTGAAGTTCAGGACCCTCCGYGCCCGTCTCTAGGAACATTCTAGAGGAACTTGACTGGAGGCCCGGTCCAGCCCCGGTAGGATCCGCATCCTGACTTCCCTGCTCCGCCCCTTTTCCCAATACTGCAGACAAAAGAGCTTGTCGCTACCACAGGGACAAGCTGTTCTAAGTGACAGGSCAACTCTCAGCAGGCACCTCAAACTTTAACCTTGAAGGAAAACTGACAGTTTTGAGATATTTTTCCATTCTGAATTTAAGTTCCCTCATGAACACAGTCTGAAGAAGACTGATCAGGTACTGCTATAGTCACTGCTAGATTTCTGGTGAGCACATTGAGTAGTTGTATACAGGCTTTTCAGCAACAGCGAAGAAAGAYGATTTTAACCATTGCTAATGCTTAAGAATAAACGGCTGCTTTTACCTTCATTGCCTTTGGCAGAGATGCATCCGTCTGGCCAAGTGGTTTGGAACCAAAGTTTTGCTGTTTTGTGTTCACAGGTTTCTGAACCTCCGTCTCAATTTCTGAGTTGAGTCCAACTAAAGGAGAAGAGCAGGAAGAAAAGAATAACTGCAGTGATTTGAAAACCATGCAGATCTTATTCTGGTAAGCCTGAACAGCAACACTATCTATCAGACTGTTGACTGATACAGTGTTTGCTATAGCCACTAGTTTAAGCCCAAATGGAGAGGAAGCTACATTAAATATGTTAAGTCAGAGCAAATAAAAGTTACATCCATCTCATAATTATGATTACAAACTGTTTTCAAAAGATGTCAGAAATGATTATCAAGTTGGAGTTTGGCACTGGACTGATTTTTAGAAGGTGGCAGTTTTGCTATGTCAAACTCATCACTTGACAAGCGGGTCCTCAAGCATCATATCCACAAAGGGCAGAGTTTAATAATTTCCTCAGCCACGCAGTCTACTGTTACTGAGACAGGAGAACAAGTACTCACTGTTGCCATCCTCAGAAAGACAAGAGTGGAAATGCAGGCTGTTCTCCCCTCCAGAAGCCTGCAAAAAAATACTACACAATGAGCACCTTTGATCTTCACAAGTCTGAATAATCACAGCCCGAATAACACAACAGGCAATTTGATGGATTTGAGCACTTAAAGACGAAGAGACTGGCCATGCTGAGGTGCACAGCAGCCTGCTTGTGGTTCTGGAGGCAGAAGGCAGAGTCCAGGTGACTACCAAGAATGTTCAGTCCCTGCCACAAGCAGACGTCCTCCCAGCTTCACACCTCTTGCAGAATTCACACCATCCGTTGTAGCGATCATACAAACATCACATTTCTGTGTTCCCAGACACTGGCACACCCTTTAAGTCGGGTCTAAACCAGCTGCAGATACTAAGTGTGCTACAGGTAAAGCTCTTGATGTAGACTTCTTAAACACAGCCTTATTGCTATTAAATACAGCTAGAAGCAGTGTCACCGAGAAGTGCTGTAACAAGATAAGCCACAAAACATCACTAATTCACTTCAGTAATTGAAAGGTTCCGTGTAAACAACCAAAATTTGCAAATTAATGCAGTAACGAGGAAGCAAGACATAAAATAACATATTTTGTTCTACTGCAAAGCTAGTGATAAAACTTTTCTTATTGGGAATGCATCAGCATTCTCCATGTCTGCAAGAGTTACAAGGGCCTGGCTACCAAATCTTTCATGAGTTAGTGTGGAAGTGACAGAAAAGGCTAGCAAGTTTGGTTTCCTCCCCCCCGCCCCCAAAGATTCCCATTTCTTTCCTTTACTGCTAATAGATTTAATTAKGCCTAATATCAAAGTTGATTCTGTATTTTTAAAAATGACAACTATGACTCTCAAATAGTGTTCTGTTCAGGTTCTTTACCATGCTTGGACCCCCCAACAGGATGCAACACAGTAAGAATTTCAATAAGGTCAGTTGAATAAAATTTCCTGTATTCAGCAGTAATTGTCAAACGTGCCATTCAACAACAGGGAACCATTCTTATTTAACAGGTGTTCTTTTAATTAACTCACCTTTCAGCAAAAAGCAGCTTCTACCAATTAGACATGAATCTGCTCAGCTGTCAGTGAGGAACAGCTGAAAGCCCCAATTTGGCCCTCTGCCCAAGGAAGGCTGGAAAGCTCTAAAAGCCTCCTGGCATTAGGCTGCCACGTGTTCAGAATGGCTGGAATACACAGTACCCCAATTATTATTCAGCTACTTTTATCCTTTCTGCTAACCCCAATTTAGTATACAAATGTCTGAGCATGCTTTAATATCCCTGTATTCACAGAGTAATTTAGTCTCATTTACAGCTGAAACTCAAAACCAGGAACAAACCCAAACTGGCACTCTCAGTTACCTTAATCAAAATTTTGTCACTAAATGGAGGAGAAAGTGACCCACTTCCTTTACTTGTGTCACACAAAGCTTTTCATAGGTATATTTTTTAAACATCAATCAACTACCAACTCTGAATCACCATGTTAGAAGTAGGGAATTTGACAAAAAAGTTTAGGTGGCTTTCTCAAAGTCATCAAGTATTAATGGCAGAGATTAAAAGAAAAACAACAAAAGCAAGCAAGCAAGCAAGCAAAAACCCAAACAGCCACCTTCAAAGGCTTTGGTTCTAATCAGTTACTGAAGCCGTTAAACAACACATCAGCCTGATAGTCAAGGATTCTGCCACACTAGAGGGATGTTATCACTGAGAAGACGGGAATCTCTAAAAAAAGCTGTTAATAATATCTAGAGAATAGAGAATATCTCTATTCTCTAGAACGTAGCTGCTTAAAAGTCTTCCAGTGAGACCAGCAGAGCTTACAGWTCAGATACAGTCTAAAAATAGAGGAATTTTACAGTTTGTAAATAGCTTTTATGATAACATTGATGGTAATGTTGAATTTCTAGATGGTATGTGGAGCAAGCATCTCAGCTCTGCCTCTCCAACTAGTTCTGCTTAGAGTGAAGTCCTTCATCTCCACCAGTACGAGCATCTTACCTTCTCCCCATCCTGACAGGAAATGGAGTCCTCAAGACTTGTTGCCATACTCTCCTCCTGCTCAGATTTGTAATTCTTGAGTTCACTTTCACTGGCTTGAATCTCATTCTATAGAATAAAGCACTTGAAAGTTGACAGGTTCTTTTCCCCTAGGAAAGTACTTGCTTTCCACATCTCTTAAGACTTTTAAAAATTGTTTTCCTAGCAAATAGCATCATAACTGAAGGAAAAGGCATAAAAAGCTATACATGCTTTAAGTGATAATGAGGAAGAAAGATAAAACTAAAATTTTGCTCTATTCTATGGATGTAATGCCTTTTTTTCTCTCCCTTCTTACTCCACATCTTTCCTTTCCAAAACTGGCAACCTTTCATTTGAAACTACCAGTATTTCAGCACAAACACTGTGTAAAGCACAGTAACTGTTAAATATAATTCAACATAAAAGCAAGTTCTACCTTTGCTTCAGCACCAATTTAAAAAAAAAAAAAAAACCTAAATCAGTTATCTATTAAGATTTTGTTCTTGACAAACTGACTTAACATTTTCTCAAAAGACTCTTTCAGACATCTAAAAAACATCCAGTGAAACCTCGTGCTTCTTTCTCCAATTATTTTGAGTCCCATGGCAGTGAAAGACTCATGCCTTTCACGAGGCATCTTCTCTGTAACACGGAAAAGAGACGGCCAAACGCCAGCGGCAGCTTGCTGGATTTCTTGTAWCATTTGCAATGCTATAAAAGGATTGCTTCTCACCCATGCTCTAACCACCTATTATAAAGATTAAAAAAAAAAAAAAAAGTCTATCCATTTAATCTGGCCCAGAATCAACCACAATGCCCWCAAAATAGTTGTTCCCAGAAGAGATTACGTGACACACTCTAGGAGGAAGGAGATACAAATATCAAATAAAGTTATCGAAAGGCCCACAGTTCGGTGGACAGGGGTCCACAACAGGAGTTATGGCTCCTGGTGGAGCACAGAAGCACTGCAAGCTCTGGCCTCAGCTGCACTTCTTTGCTTCCATTCTGCCTACTGCCCTTAGCAACACACCAGGAAAATCAAAGGAGATTCTGCCAAATGGAGCCTCATAAAAGCATCAGCCTGGGCTGACCCAAAGCTGACAGTGCTTGAGCTACATGAACAAGAGTCAAGAGATGCCTATGGCAAATCTCTTGCCATTAGGGCATAATGTAGGGAATTAGCTTCAGATCTTTCCATAAACGGGAAAAGGCAATCCAGCCAAATASAGGTGGGAAATGGAAAATAGAAGTTGTTCCTGTTGCATGTAAATTTTTTTGCATCTATATAAAGATAGCCAAGAAGCTTATACTTTTCTAAAGYTTAGAACCAACATTTTTGGCTTTTACTGCAAGTGCAAATTTGCCAATTTAAAAAGATTAGAAAGAGACTTAAAATTTCCTATTATTAAACAAAATCTTCAGACAGTTCCAGCAACTGCAGTGTGCTTTTTGACAAAAGCCTAGATTCTTGCAGTCCCTTCAGCTGCAGTTACTGTGATTCATTAATTGCTCATTTCCTGCTCAAATAGCTGCAAAATTGGCACAGGTTAATTCACTGCAACAGAACAACTGGATTTATGTAATGGATGAGAAGACTTGAAGGGAGGTGGTAACAAAAGGGAGGAAAACTGCTTAGAGAAGCCAAGGCTGCAACAGAGGCTCCGGGCATTGTACACGGGGGAAGTGGCTCCATCTTGCTGTGCTTCGCTTTCCCCTAGTGTACAGCTAATTTACAAATTCTGAATTGAGATTTTTAAAGTATGCAGAGAGCTATAGGCACACAGGAAAAGAATGTCAGCTATGTTTTAGAAGGACCTCAGCGAGGGTGCCAGCAATTAGCTTCTTGGAAAGCTTTCAAGATTATTTCAGGAAGATGCAAATACTTATTTCTTCCTGCAGCCTGTAGAGAAAGCTCTTGATTAGCAACTACTCTCCTGAGCAAAAAAAAAAATCTCTTCAAAACAAGATGACATTATCTTCAAAAAGCCTGGTTTTCCCAAAACCTTCTTTTCCGCTTCAGATTAAGAAAGGAGAAAAAAAAAAAAAAAAAAAAAAAAGAAAGAAGACATCTACACAAGAACAGCAGACTTACCGGCAGGTTGGTGGCACTGCCCTGCCTGGACACAGCCGCCTGGTACTTGGCCAGCCTGTCCTTTATGGACGTTTCCGTCAGGCGAGGCATGTCCAGGCTTTTCTTGCTCTCTGCCTTCTCCGAGCTGAGCACTGCACTGCTCTCTACTAGATGCCCTGGAAAAAGAATGACAGAGGTAAAGCATAACTTGCATGAAACACCAGGAGAAGGTTACAAATCTCATCCCTTCAGCACCACCAGGACCAGAGCTATTTCAGGTGCTCAAGGCAAGGGCTTAGGCTGAGCCTTGCATTTAATCCAGCTTGTTTCAGAAGCAGCACATTCACCAGTCCAGGCAGCAGCCTCAGAAGCAACAAGGGCAAATGGTTCAAACCTTGAAGACTCTCGTGCTGTTGTGGTTAAATGAAAGCAGCTACTGTAGTGGCTAAATGGAGTGGAATAGTTTTCAAAGTCTTTTTGGAAAGCTATAGGAAGCGAGAGAGGAAGTCTCACCTGCCACTTCCAGCCTCTCTGTAAAATTAAATCTCTCACATGACATAGTACAGCTGAGGATTTCAAGAACAAACACATTATGAAATAATTCAGATTAGCTTGCTTATCCTGGCAGCGCAGTTTTGAAGCATCTGCTTTTATCTCAAGAGGAAAGAAACATTTGGCAGCTTACCTACCAGCTGAACTCTGTACATCCAGATCCCCCAGCCCCCTGTGCTCACCATCCAGCCTTCATTTTTGCTGCCAAACCTTAGCCAATTAGCCTTAAAAAGACAGTTCCCTTTACTGCTCTGCTAACTTACTACAGCTCACACAGGACCAGCTTTATCATTCAGTACAGGATGATAAAAGGGAACCTTTCGCTAGCTAGTGGCCTTGGATGACTAAAGCATTATGTAAATTGTTAAGGTCCCTCTTGGGGATAATAAATGAGCATAAGTAATTCTTGCTAGTCTCTCCAGTATTGCTCAAATAAGGACACAATCTGTACCACTAAGTAGTAAGATATAATATTACCATAGGCTGAAAACGCRGAAGTCTATAAATGCCTTGTTAGGAAAGTGCCTTTAAATTTATGAAAAATATGTAATTTTCCTCAAGTCAAAAGGCTTGCTGCATTCRCCCATTTCTGGAGGAGGTAGGAGGAGGGAAAGGAATTAAAGCAACAAAAGGAAGGCACATTGTCATGTCTTCTTGTAAGGAAAGAAATTTTGCTATTTAGATTCTGTATTAGTTTGACTATTAGGAAAAAAAAAAAAATCTTTGTCCTAGAATTAAGACACGGGAGAAAAGTGGGTTCTGTTCTTTAATTTGCCCATTATGTCCCATGACTGCCGTGTCCTACACTTAAGGGGATAATGGTTTAACAGTCAGAGCATGATTTAGTTCATTAAATGTGATGCTCTCAAGCACCTTACAGATGGAAAATGGTTTCATTTCCTTCTATTCTGAAAGGCATAAGGCTATTTCCATTGTTTTCYTTAGAGCAGTCTTACAAAGAAAGAAAAAGAAAGAAGAAAGAAAGAAACCCCTCAAGGATTACTGACCTGAGGTACCGTGGCTCTTGTCTCCTTGGGCAATCTCGCAGTCCTCTGAAGAGTAGCTGTTTTCAGAGACCCTCCTGCCGCTTGGTGCCGTCTTCCTCTGGTCCCAAGAGCCCTGTCAGAGACAACCCCACCTATCAGCTGCCTGGACAAGCAGAGATTGTTGTGTTTAATCCGTTAAGATGCACAGGTGTCACTAGCAAATCTGCTTTACTGGACTAAACAAGTCTAGTAGGTGACATCCTATTTAACCAATATAAAGTTTGATCACAGAATAGCTAACCCTCTGCCACCTGGAAAACACTTTCTTGAAGAGGTCCAGAGGTGCTTCTGGTGGAGTGTTGGAAAGCCAGGGAAACACAAAGATCGTATTTGCAGTTTATTCGTAAGGTAACATGCAAGGTCAGTTTATGAAGATTTTAAATCAGACGATTAGAAGTGGGAGCTGCCAATACCTGTGCATTAATTTTCAACAACAGAAAAGACAACAAATACTACGTTTTCTAGAGTTACTTATTTTCACATGGATAGCTCATTCATTCAGTACCAAATAATTCCCTAATTAGGTCTGATAAGGCTGAAGCTTAAGCAGAACAGTGCCAGAGATAAATATTCTCAGATATCCAGGATAATCACTGGCAAGGCTGAAGTGCTGCACAGGGTTGTGGCACTACCAGACAGATTCTCTGGCTGGTTCCATCAAATCTAACAGTCTTTTGTTGAGACCAACTCCCCAAAAATCTAATGCTCAGTAAAAGAGTCTGTGAAAAGAAATTTCAACAAATTTCAACAGCTTTAGTAAATATTCATGAAGCACAGAGTTTGACTTCATAAAGCTTGGGTATTTTCCACAGTTGAAAGTCAATCTATAAAATACTAGAAGGTGACAGATCTTTCTCCTCTCCATAGAAAGAGTTAAATCACAGAGCCAACTGGAAGTTAAGATTGAGGCTAAAGTAGGGAAAAAAGGCAGGTTTGGCAACTGCTTTAACCACACATTTTTTTCCTCCCACTGCTTCCAACAAGTTTCTTATTTGCTGGTCACCAAACTGAAGGAAATTCCAAAGTTTGACTTTAACAGAGCTGCAGTGTAAGATAATCACTGTGAAAAATCAGGCTGCTTCGGCACACAAAACAGCAACTTTACCAGGAAAGGAAAATGCAGCTGAAAACCCTTTTTTTTTCCCCATTAGCATGGGAGGGGTTTTTTTTGTTTGTTTGTTTTTTTAATATTATTTCTGTGGTTTAAGCCTTTGGTAATGTTTCTTACTGGAAAAGAGCTTAGCTATGACAAGCCTTTTCCTTACATTGAGTGTGTTGATAGGCTCAGTTTGGGAGTGTCTGCACACTTGTAAGAACTTGCAGATTCCTATGTCGGTGCAAGCTTTCCTTGGACAATTCTTATCCAGTCTATGTCCACTTCAATGTCACCTCAAGCCCACAAATCGAACCTTCTTGCAGTCCAGTAGTTTGATGTTCAAAGAGTCTGACTTTAGGTGAGTACATCAGAGGTAGAACCCACCTGAATTATRTATTAGCCCACTTGGAAACCCCGACTGCTTCATCTCAGCACCGCTGACCTGAGTGAACAGGAGCGGGAAGGGGTCCGTGACTCCCACTCTACCCTCCTGCCGCCCACCTCTCTCTGCACTCCTGGCTAGGTCACTATTCCAGTAGCRCAACTTTTGCTACCTGCAAAGTGGGAGAAAACATTCCTCGGGTCTGGAAAGCCCCAAGGGTCTAAGACAAAAGAGGTAAGAGTAGAAGTTTTTGCCTGAGGCAGAAGGAGCTGCTGTTAGGCAAAACACCAAATAAAAGTTACACCTATTCTTCCTTATATCCTAACTGTGTCAAATGTGACCCAGCACTTTAGGTTTACACAAGCCAGAGTCAGTTTTTGCCTTAAGAAAAAAGAAGCACAAAACAATTTGGAGACTTTCTTGTAAACCACTGCAGATTGGCTTGGCTTTTCTTTTCTTCCAAGCTTCCCTGTGCAAGTTTTTATTGTCATTTAACAGGAAGCGTTCTTTGAAATCAATAAAGAGCTTGGATTCCGATTCACATGGTACTAAATCAATCTGAATTGACATGCCTGCTTTGATTCCAGCTCATATGTTTAGAGGCATTTTCTTCTGAAGGTGCAATAAAAAAAAAAATCTGCCTTGCATCCAAATTGCTAAATTGCAGATGATGGAGCAAGAGCTGAATGAATACATGAATAAATTTGGGTTTTGCTCATGTCCCTGAAAATCCGAGCAGGTTTGTTTCTGTTGAACGTTACTTAGAGTACGTGACTAGGTCAGGAAATCCAGGCTCTAATCTGGATTCTGCCACATGCTCGCCCAGCAGCCAGGCAGGTCATTTCACCTTTACTGCCTTGAAGCTGCAGCCACGGGGCTACTTCTCTTACACAAACGTGTGGGCAAAGCTGTGAGAGCCCAAACAGGGAAATAAACCGCAGCTCAGAGCTGCAGCCCTCCTCACGCTCAAACTGGAGCTTCAGAATGGGCAGAGCACAAACGGGAGAGCCAGGAGCCAGCAGCSCAGCTCGTCCTCTGCCACATGTACACTACGGCGCCAAGAAAGATCCGCGTCCCCGTGACTCTCGCTGGGATGGACTGCRGGACGTCACCTTCCAGCCCACAGATAAACTCCCAGGGCCAGAAACTACCCTAGTGCTCTCTAGCCGTGAAGGGCTCCCTCACACACAGCTAGACTCTAGAACACTTGGTGCTTTTTCTCATCCCAGTTTCAAAAGTAACCAAATGAAGCTGGGGAGAAGAACAGAGTTYGATGCAGTATCCTGAGTAGTTTTAGTAGTTTTGTACTATTGGTTTTCAACCATGTTCAAATTACGAAACTTGACAGAAATTCCCATTCCCGATTCAGTCAGCCCAGAACAATTTATGCCCCAGGCTAAGATAAAGGTGCTTGACGCCTATCTGCAAAACGGTGCTTTCCTGAGGAATCCCAGCTCACAGATCCCACAGTGGGATCTGGAGCCGCTCCCAGGATCCCCCTTGCAGAGAGCCCTTTGAACAAGGGTTGGGCTGCCTTACATAGGGCTGAGCATAAAAAAGGCGAGCTGGGAAAGAYGGCTTCGATTGCTACGTTCGGACCCCAAACTTGGTTTAACATAAAGCTGCTTCTCTGAAGCCCTCAACCATCACATTATTTAAATACCTTCTGTAGGAAATCTGCTCGTTTTACTCAATACCGCGAGAAAACCACCCGCAGCAAGACAAAGCCAGAAGCATAGGAAACTATGAGAAAACTGGAAAATCCACCAGCATCTAGGCCTCGGGACTATGTTGCAAGTCGCTGGCATCTGCAACTCATTTTCTAGTTAAGCAATTCTCCCCGGGGACACGGARTCTGCAGTCCACATGCGGCTCGGGTTTCACGAGCGGACGCGGCCCGGAGCATTTGCAAGTCAGAACTGGCGAAGGCAGGAGCGCGCCTCGCTATCTGCGCCTGCTCCTCCCAGGGAGGATTTTTGTTGATAAGAAACATTTGTTAAGATAGAAAGCRGAGAGGACAGCAAAGAAGAGATGGAGTTTTTGCTTTAGGCTTTTATGCCTACACCTGCATAGATATATTAAATATAAATATTTTAAATATGGATAGTTAGCCCTGGGACTCTGGCATCTCTGCAGCTGCCTGAGCCTGGGGAGCTTACTTCGAACTGCTATTCCTTAGATTTATTTATTTATTTTTACACAATTCATATTTATGCAAGTAATTTCAGTCTTCAGACAAGATGCAAACAATCTCGGCCATGCTTTAAAAGAACACGCATACATTCCATACTGATTCTCCCTTACCTTTAATTGATCCACTCTTTCAAAACCAAATCCATTTAAAGTCTGCGGCGAGCGACCGCAGCCAGCGCAAGCCCCCACTCTCCACACTCCAACAAGTCCTTACCAGCAGCTGCATTAAGTCTCATCCAGAGCAATGAATAAACCGCCCCTGGCAGAGCCGGGAGCCCCGAGCGCTCCCTCCAGCGACTCCTCCCAACGCCCAGGGGTTGCAGCCGCTCGTGGGAAGGATCCTTACCTTGCCGGGGGCCGCTTCGCCCTTCTCGAACATCATCTTCAGCTTGCTCAGGGGAACGCTGCTCTTCTCGATCCTGCCCACGGGCTCCGCGCTGTCGCCGCCGTCCGCCTTTCCCACCTCTCGCGGGCAGTTTTCCATCTTCCCCCTCTCCGGCGAGCGGCGTCTCGGCTTCTCGCCCTCGGCACCCGCGCACGGCGCCTGCTCCGGGCCCGGCGGGGCTGCGGGGCCAGCGGCCGCGCCGGGGCTGCCGACYGCGGGCCTCACTTGGGCCTTGGCAGCGTGCGCGCCCGGCGCCGGGCTCTCCCACCTCTTCTTGAGCGCGCTGAGGGCCCCGCGTTGGAAGCGGGGCGGGAGGCTGTCGGCGCTCTGCGGGACGGGAGCCGGCGCGTTACCACCGCGCTGGAAGCGAGCGGCGCGCGCAGACCCGGCCCGCGCGCGGCCACAGCTGGGGCTCGTTACCGCGGTGCCACGGCGGGAAGAGCATCCCGGCCGGGAGGAGGGGAGCCGAGCGGCGCAGGAAGCGGCCGCGGCATGGCCTTATAAGGGCAAGGACCGGCTTTAAGGAGTTAACGCGCACAAAGGCTGCGCTTTGCCTCAAACGCAGGAAACGCGGCCGCGGGAGCTGCCTGCCGGGCCACGCGCGGCAGCGTCCTCCAGGCTGCAGACGGCGACCAGGAGGCTGTCCCAGAAGAGCTACAGAGCACCTCGCAGAAACAGCGGCTTTTGGGGCGAGTCCTGCACGTCTATGGCAGCTATGCTGCGTTCACAGAATCACCGAATGGAAGGGACCTCTAGAGATCATCTAGTCCAACCTTCCTGCTCAAGCAGGCACACCTAGAGCACGGGGCACAGGGCGGCATCCAGGCGGGTTTTGAAGACCTCCAGAGAAGGAGATTCCACAACCTCCCTGGGCAGCCTGTTCCACTGCTCTGTCACCCTAACAGTAAAGAAGTTCTTCCTCACATGGAGATGGAATTCTACACACATCTCCATCTTCCACACTTTATACCATACAGCACAAAGGCACAAACTAAGCACTGGCTACACGTTCTTCTGTGCTCRTTCGGGGGGATTTGTCTTCTATTTCACACAGCACGCAAGCTCTAGACGGGACACGGACACACAAAGCACAAGCTCTGCTTACCATGGTGAGTTTGATGGTACCACGGAGCAGCACTCCTCAAAGCCAAGTGCTTCCCAGATTCGCTTCCTTAGGAGCGGTTACCTCTCCCCAGAGTAGCCGGCCACCCCCCATGTGGTTCRTTCAGATCGGGCCCCGGCCAACATGGCATTTTTGCTGTCTGCCCCTTATGGAGACCACTACATATCAAACTCACTGCAAGTGGAACAGGTCTGCAAGGCTTACGGGAATTAACCAGGATTAGCAGCTATATTAGGATTTAAGTCTCTCACCCTATTACTCTTCTGGTCACATTTTGAACACTGCTTTGCAAATTAACTTGAATCCACTGAGACTTCAAAAAGATCAGTGTGTTAGCTGACTGCCTTTAAAAGAAAGCACTGAAGTTGTAAGGCAAATGCAAACATAGCAGTAGTCAAAACAGCACCCAGGTCTCTACAGGCACCTCTGCACACCCAGCACTGTGCTGCCTAGGAGGTCCTGGCACACCTCAGAGCACGAGTCACTCCTGCTTGGGACTTGTCTGCCCTGGATCACACAAGCAAGGAAGAAAATTTAAGACCGGATAGTCATTTTTAGAACAGTAATTTATCATAACTGTCTCCTGAACTGGAGAATGACTCAAGCATTTAAAAACAAAACAAAACAAACAACAACAAAAATCGAGGATACTTGTGCTAGCAAACTTACATTTCCTAGCTTACTTACATATCACTGTATCACTGGTCTTTGTAAGTGAATATTAAAGAAGGATCTGCTTCGAGAGGCAGATCTGCAATGTTAGCGCCTGAGCTCCCATCAGAGCCTCCAGCCCCAGAACAGGGAGCACCGGCAGGGAAGACCAGGCTGCAACGGAGCCTAGAGAGCAGCTCCCGCCTTGGCTGGGCATTTCAACCCCGGCAACCGCTTCCGAGGAGACTCCTCTGCATGGATTCTGCACATGCCACACTTCAGAGAAGTTCACAGGTTCTCTCAAGGAGACTCATACMTATAGTTGTGAAGCGGTACCAAGGTTGCCTACAGCTAAGAATAAAGAGGTGGAGGCTCCTGTGTTGTGGTTAGAACAAAAGACTGAAGGCAACTGGCTTTGGCTGCTGCTTGGGATGAAGTTGGTGATTCAACATATAGCTGTGGGCAAGTCACTTGATCTTCTTGTGCTTTAGTCACACTCAAAAAGGACAAGGGGAATGGGCCAAAGGCAGAAACTGGGGCTTGGCCAAGGTTTCTGCAGGACGCTCGGCAACAGCTTTGATATTTCCCCAAGGCACCGTCACAGGAACAGCGCGTGCCAGGGACCTGCCCCGGCTGCAGCCTGCCCCTTATTGCCTACCAAACAAATACTCACATTTCGTTTCTTCTCAGCAGTGGCTTCTTCAGCCGCTTTCTGGTACCTTTGAGAAAGGGGAAGAAAGGAGGGAAAACGGTTTTAATCGGAATAGTGAATGCTCTTGAAGAGAGCTGAGGTTCTTTCACCAGCAGGATTTCATGTACTTTCCAGACCTATCAGATGAAACCAGGTGCTGCAAAAAATAATAGCAAACAGTATCTGAACAATGTAAAGTGCTAGACACATTTTAAGCTATTCAGCTCTCGGTAATAGCATGCATTATAATTTTCATTATCTAAACACTCCAAGTCTCCAATACAGACAATTTACCTTGGAATGGCTCTATTGTTTCCCCCGCCCAGCTGCCTGCTCTGCCCCCTTGCAGGAATAACTCAGCTATTTATACAGCAGCTGCTGAACTGTAACAAATTACAGCTTGGCATACGAGGAAAATCTACATAAGTGCCAGTTTATCTTACTATGCCGGGCTGTAAACTGCAGCAGTTCAGCAGTTGCTCCAAGAGCAGCTGAACCAGCCCARCAGTGGAAACAGTAATCGCAGCCCTCTGCAGATAAGCTACCCTGGATCATGAATCAAAGTCCCTTAAGAAGCTACAGAAACCCCCCAGCAATCTGCACTCCAGCGGGCACAAGCGCCCGCTCCGTGCCAGTCCGGGTCTGCTCGAGCTGCCTGCACTCTCCTTCTGAAAAGCACGGATTCATCAGATGTGATGAATTCTGCTCTATTTCTGTAACTAGATACTTACTGCAACTAAACAACTTCCAGTAGGTTGCAGGCAGAAAGTGAGATACTAATAGTAGTCATCAAGTTCACCCTTTAAATAATTGCTGGTGTCAAAAATAAGGTATCAGAGGACTTAGTAATTTTAAGGAAAAGAATGTGCTACTCGGTTCCTCCTTGCAGTGCCTCTTTTCCCCGCTGTGGATGGCAACCTCCCATACGGGCTTCTTGTCTTGTTACTGCAGGATCCGGAGGTCTGCCCCCCTACCCATTTCTACGAACGGTGTTTACCGTGCACCTGAACGCTGCTGAGGGAGTGTGGCTGGCCCTCCATCATAAACGCAGAGCATTAACCTATGTTTTCTGTACTACACAGCTCCCAAACGCCGRGTGAGTCATGCTGCTGAAAAAGTGAGGTTAGGGAGGAAGAGAAGCCAATACTGGAAGAAGCAACAAAGAGACCCAGGGGATGAAAGTCCAGAACCACAGTGGAAATGACAAACAAGGAGTGGAGATCCCAGGCAGCACTGTGAGTTAGCTCATCTCAATGCATTAACTCTGCTCTTAGCTGCAAATCTGTGAGTCTCTGACCTACCAGAACTCCCAGTTGAAATGCTGTATGAAATTCAAAAGGTGTTTTCGCATACAAATRTTTAATAAGAGCAATGTAGAAAAATTAGACTCTTGCTGTGTCAGAGTTGGCAAAGCCAATAGCACTGTGGTTTTTCAAAGCACTGACACTGCTGATGTAGAGGAACTCTACTTGATTAAGAAATAGCGGTTTGGATTACTTCCAGTAAGCCCTTTTCAAAGGATTATCAACATTTAGCAAGATGACCAGGTTCTGTAATCAAATTTCAGTGAGTGAATAAATTACTTAACAGAGCAGTCAAAGCAAGCAGCTTCTCCCTAGGACACACTTAAAGAGCAACAGCGATGCTTCTGCAAAGTTCACATTGCAATTATCCTCCCTCTATAGAATTCATAACATTTCCTCCGCACTCAGGATTTAAATGCTCCAAAACCTTGTTACACTGTTAATGCAATAGCCCAGGGAACCCTGTTATGCAACTCCCATTSAAAACACAAGCCCTACTCTACGAGCGCAAGCTTATCCAGAACATATACATAGGCTACTGCCTCTCAGCAACAGTCCTATCCAGTGTATAAAATATAAATAACAGTCTAATAACAAAGTCATCATCCACCTCTCAGACAAGAGGAGGAGATTGCATTCCTTTTCTGAGCAGTACTGGAAGACATGTGGAAGGGGACATGCGCAAGGAACACAACGATCACAAAAAATCCCCCCAAAATTCTTCCAAGGAGTTACATCCCAAGCCAGCATGGATCAGAATTGCAGCCTCTATCTGGTACTCCAGGTAACTGCCCCTGGTTTTCACAGGCCAGGCAGGAAGCGCCATGTCAGAGAGGAACCTCATGCTGGGGCTGCAAAAACCCCTTCAGAGCAAGTAAACAGCTCATGGCTGTAGCTGCTACACCCCAGTACTCTACCTTTAAAAGTACTTTCTATTTAACAGCAAACACTGTACTTTATTTTCTACTAGAAGAAAGAATAGATTCTGTTTACTGTAACAATATAATTGGTCAGCAACTAAAGAAAAAAAATCTCTCAGCACATATTCAACCTGAAACTGAAATGCCAACAGAGCTATGTTATTTTTACAGAGGAAAACAACCGCCAGGGAAGCARTCGTCGTTGAAGGCACCAGCTGCCAACCAACACAACCCGACTGCATTCGAGAGCTTTGCTCCACTTACTTGGAGAACCTCTCCATGAGAGCCGACGACTTGTTCGTGTTGACTAGAGAAAGCTCTTTGGCTGTGATCCTCAGCGACTGCGAAACCCATTGTCTCCTGTTGAAAGGGGAGGGCTCCATCTTTCCACCACCAATACCTACGCAGGAAAGAAAAGACCAAAAGTCTTGGTCAGTCGGAACTATTTGAGCTGAAAAGCAGTCTCACAAAATGATTCAACACTAAGTCATCGCTTGGTGCTCCCAGCACCTGAATGTTGCCGTCATGTCCTGGGCATTCATGCTCTCCTGTATTGTCTGGCCAAGAAAATGACATCAGATTCAAGTTGCAATTTCCTCTGAAGATGCCTTTGAGATGGTCTCCTTGATAAAACACCAGGGACAACCAACGTAAGGGGTGGGAGATCAGCCAGAAAACAGAACAGGAGCAAGAGCGAGCTGTGATTGAGAAGGACGCCGACGTGCAACGCCGTGTTTCTTCAGCGCGCACGAACATGCGCACGCTCAGGAAGCCCTAATATGCCCTCTCTTGTTCTGGCTTCTCGAGCAAATATGCTGGCATTTATGTAAGAAGGCTGGAGTTATGAAACCTAAGAGGATGTAATTCCTATGCAAACATTTTTCTTTTACCCTTGTGGTGTTCATTCCTAATGCAGCAGCCGTTTCCTTTGTGAGCTAAAACAAGTCTTCTGTTCAGGGAGGCAGCTGTAAACCTCATGTTGTAATAGCTATCAGTTACCTAGAGGAATAATTTTAACTGCCCCGTACTGCTGCAAACTGGAACAGATTTTRCACAGGTTTTTCATCACAGAAGCCAGCAAGTCTGTATCGGATTCTTTTTTCTTTACATATAAAGTTTTTCTTTTGCAGAGGAGGAAAGGAGGGGGAGTAATTTAGAATTCTTTGATAAGACCAAAATAAACCTAGCGCGACAACGCCTTTCCTTTTTTTCCTCCTTTCTTTTATCCCTAGTCGCACAATGCCTGTAGCAAGTGCATTAACTGCCCCGAGGGCTGCTCGCTCATGGGGGCCATCGCCACCTCATCCCTTCCATCAGCTTCTTCAACCCATTTGCACTGTTAGGTCACAGAAGGCTGGAGGACCCAGCACAGGTAACGCTCCCAGGCCATTAGTCACAATTGAAGTGGGAGCATCTTAGGGAAAGTGTCCAGGCAAAGCAGGGCAGGCGACGTTCTGCTCCTCATGGGAGGCCCCAGCCTTCTCCCACCTTCTCGGGTTCCAATGGATCCCAGACAAGGATGCACCACGCATTTGCCAAGACAGCCGTTTAGATGGTACATCTAGGGGTTGAATTATCCTGGCAAGTAATAGAAGTCATAGGATCATAGAATGCTTAAGGTTGGAAGGGACCTCAGAGGTCATCTAGTCCAACCCCCCTGCACACACAGGTGGCACAGGGCTACATCCAAGCAGGTTTTAAAGATCTCCAAAGAAGGAGACTCCACAAGCTCTCCGGGTAGCCAGTGCCAGGGCTCTGGCACCCTCACTGTTTGGAAATSTTTCCATAAGTTCCTGTGGAACTTCTGGTGCCTCAGCTTGTGGCCGTTTCCTCTAGTCCTGTCGCTGGCCACCACTGAAAAGAGGCCACCCCCCTCCTCCTCACTGCCTCCCTTGAGGTATCTATAGACACTGCTCAGGTCCCCCCTCAGCCTCCTCTTCTCCAGGCTGAACAGGCCCAGCTCCCTCAGCCTTTGCTCACAGGGCAGATGTTCCAGGCGCCTGATCATCCTSGTAGCMCTGCGCTGGACTCTCTCCAGCAGCTCCACATCCCTCTTGTCCTGGGGAGCCCAGAACTGGGCACAGTGCTCCAGGTCACGCTGAAACCCACCCAAACTCTCAGGTTTACAGGTCCTGCTGCAGCCTCAGCTTCGCATCTTCTGCCCCATCCAGGGGTGGCAGCGCCTGAGGAGATACTTYGTGCAGGTCCAGAGATCCCAGGTTTCCACTTAGTGCCATTCAGTGGCTCCTGTTCCATTAACCCAGCTGCTTTTGTACACGTTTACTGGACCAGCCAAGGATGCTCCCCAGCTTGCGGGCTCACAGTAGCTCCCAATCTTTGCCCATTGCAAAAATGGGCATCCATGAGGAAAAAGGCTCTTCTCATTKGAATATAAGAGGATCACTCATTTTGCACCACTTATTTAAAGAGATTATTAACCCTACAATTAAATAATCATTTTCATGATTACAAAATTTAGTCCTTATTAGCAGTACTCAATAGCAATCACTTAGCATATAGATTTAAGAAAGCCACACAATACATACCCAAAGACTATAGATTAATTTGATGGGGGAAAAAAAAAACTGAAATAGGTGCATGAAACTACAGATTAAACTTTTGCTTTAAAATTAATCTTGAGCAAAGAGATTAATCCAAGGCAGCACTTTGCCCTTTAAGCCGTCTGCCCCAAAAGKGAGCGGGTTCCGCGCAGGAGGCTGGCGCGGCGCTGCCAGGATCCGCGGCCCTCGCCGCACCTGCCTCCGGGCGACAGGTTGAGGAGGCCAAGAGGAAGCAAAACACGGAGCGCCCCGGAGCGCGGGCACCACAAACCGGGCGGCCCCGCGGCCTCCTCCCCGTCGCGCTGTCCCCGCGGGGCTGGAGGTGCCCGGAGACGCTGGGCACGGGCTGCCAGAGCCGCCGCCGGGCCCGGCCCGCGGAGCGGAGCCCCGGGCCCCCGCACGGCGCCGCCGCTGCCCCAGCGCCCCGGCCCGCCCGCGGCCCCCGCAGCGCTCCCGCATCGCTGCCCGTGCCCTGCTGCCGCCGGCAGCATTCATGCCGAGGAATTCCAGGAAATAGCCCTTTACCGCAAGCACTGCGGTTTAAACGGGAGCGCAGCCGCGCTGCAGAGGGGACGCCGGTGCTCGCAGCGGGACGGGCGGGAGAGCGGGGAGGGCAGGACCCGCCGCGCTGCAGCAACCGGCGCCGCGGAGCGAGTGAGCGGGACCCTCGCGGCGGGGCCGAGCACCGCGGGGCCGGCTCGGCCGCTCTCTCCCCCCTGC